TTAAATGTATTATTGATTTGAGATAGAGTGAGAGACAATATGCGTACCAGCGGGGGCTGGGAGGGGTACAAGGCAAAGCAGGCTCATCAATGAGCAGGGAGCTCAATGTGGGGCTCAATCCCAAAACCCTGGGATCACGACCTGAGCCAAAGGCAGACACTCAACCGAGCCACACAGGTGCCCCTGAATCTGACATTTGTGACCTCTATTCTCTATCCTCACCTTCTGAAAATATAGTTAGGCAAGGGATCTTGTGTGTGTTTTAAATAGGGCAAGGTTGAATTACACGTGAACACAAAATTATATGACAATTTTTTAAAAGCCTAATGTTTTAAATACAAACTGACTAGGAATAAATATAAAAGGATTCTATTTAGACAATTTCTGTCCTTGATGCCAGGTTCTTCAGCCCTACAATATCCTGAGAAACCAGCTCTCTCTCTTTCATACAACATACTGGGCCCTTACTGTCAAGTTCTACATACTCCTGGTAATCAAACCACACCTAGAAAACCTGCACCACTGTATTACCCAAGAGATCTCAGGCTTGTCTTCTTGCAGGAGCCATGCCAAACATGTTAGGTCATGTTCTGGTTAATCCAAAGACCCACTATAACAACCTCCTCTTTTCCCCCAAGTATTCCAAGGGGCCCAGTATTAGCATTACAAAACAGAGAACCTGCTTTGTATGAAGCAAAAAGTATAAAATTATGAGTGGTATAATTTTCCGTTCACTTAAACTCTGTTCCTGGCTCTGCTAATTTGAGTTCACTCTTTAAATTTCAGTTTCTCCATATACATAATGGATATAAAAAGTTATCAGTTTTCCAAGGATGTTCAACAATTAAAGAAAACATCCAAAAAATTACTTCTTTGAAAAAAAAAAAAAAGAGACACATAATATGCATGAAAACATACATCACATAGCAAATGCTGTCTTATTTCAATGGAGAGTAAGTTTTTCTAAAGTAGCATCTAGAATGAAGAGAGCTGTGCAAATAAACCAGTATCCAGTAATTGCTTGTTTTAATGAATAGAACTCGAATATCCCTACATTAGGTAAATAGAATTTGCTGTGTTATCATTCTCTACTTCAAATAGTTTGGTTTCAGACAAATTTAAGCCTTTATGAAAATTCAGTATCAAGGCCACCTAGAGAGCTCAGTTAGTTAAGTAGCTGCCTTTGGCTCAAGATCCTGGGATTCAGCAGCATCAGCATAGGGGCTCCCTGCTCAGTGGGGAGCCTGCTTCCCTCTCTCCATTTGCCCCTCCCCCTGCTCATACTCTCTCAAAATCTTATAAAAAAAAAAAAAGAAAATTCAGTATCAAAACTGAGTATACCATAAGAATAAAATACAAAATAAACAGTTATCCTATAAGCCATGTTTATACACTACTTTATTGAAATAAGATTTAATTTGGCCTTTATTACTTCAAGGCAACCAATGTTTTAATTATTTAACACCACAACAGTATGAAATATCCCACTTCACTTGATGAAATAAGGGGGGCTCACAGTGTATTTAGAAGCCAAGTCAAGTTGCTAAGGGAATGGTAGTGCATGATCTTACTAGTCCCTTGATGGTTTAACACAAAGTTAGAAAACCTTTTAAGACTGCTTTAAAGACAATTATTTCTATTCGTTCATATATATCTTGACGCAGTGCGAAAGGAGAATAAAATTCTCTTATTCTTCTACATTGTCAATAACGGCTGAGAGATAAACTCTAAATATGAACTCTTGCAACTATTGGATTAAGGCTAAAGTACAAAAACTGGAATATTCTAAAGGAAAAATATGAGATAGAAAAGAAGTAGGACAATATAAACTTAGCTTTAATTCATTTTTAAAAGAAAATGAATCTTTAATTAGTTTCAGCATATAACACCTCAACTGTAAAACTCATTCTAAAAATTATAATTCCAATGTCTACTTTAGAAGCTAAAGTATACATAAAGCAAATAACTTTGAAAAGAAACATCAGTAGAAAGAGGTTGAAGTATGTGGTCCATGGATTGCTGAAAATATTTATATTTTTAAAATATTTATTTTTAAGATTTCTTTATTTATTCATTCATGAGAGACAGAGACAGAGAGAGAGAGAGAGAGAGAGAGAGAGAGAGAGAGAGAGGCAGAGATACAAGCAGAGGGAGAAACAGGCTCCACGCAGGGAACCCAATGTGGGACTTGATCCCGGGACTCCAGGATCACGCTCTGAGCCAAAGGCAGACGCTACATCACTGACCCACCCTGGCATCCCTTAAAAAAATATTTTAGAGGAATTAAATATAATAGATGTAGGCATATATGGGATACTCTAAGATAAGTCATAAGTATGAAACCCAAGGCCTGAATTATACTTTTTTATTTATCTATTCATTTGTCAGAGACAGAGAGACAGGGAGAGTGGGTGCTCACAAGCAAGGGGAGCAGCAAGCTCCCTGCTGAGCAAGGAGCCTGATGTGGGACTTGATCCCAGGACCCTGGGATCATGGCCTGAGCTGAAGGCAGACACTTAACCTAGGGGCACCTAGGTGTCCCCTGAATTCTACTTTTGTCATTTATCTCTAATTACAGAACTGATTTCTCCTTAAATCTCAGAGCCTTGGGTCTTTTTTAAAATACCTTTTAATACCTTGGTTTTCCTTGCCCTCTCTTATCTCACCTCCCAACTGCCATCATTCAGTGTTAAATAAAATTTCCTTGTGTTTTCTTGCATTCTCTTCCGTAAATATTACAATGAACCTATCTTAAACATATACCCTTTATTCCAAAACATCTTTTGATTTAGATCGGTAAACTTCTGAGGACTCTATTGTAATTGGATAGTGCAATAAAACAGTGCTTCTCTAGGAAGGGATGATGGTACTCTTCTTCATCCTCACCAAGGATCCTTGGATGTTCTAAGAGGTGGTACAGAATGAAGCAGGCAACAAAACACTTCCTTCCACAAACACATGGTATTATCTTTTTTTTTAATAAACATTTTATTTATTTATTCATGACAGAGAGAGAGAGAGACAGACAGACAGACAGACATAGGCAGAAGGAGAAGCCAGCTCCATTCAGGGAGCCTGATGTGGGGCTCCACCCCCACCCACCCCAACACTCCAGGATCACAACCTGAGCCAAAGGCAGATGCTCAACCACTGAGCCCACGTGGTATTCTTTTCTTAAATAGAACTCCTTCCTGGAATTCTTTTTTTAAATAAGGATTTTATTTTTCTTTTAAGTAATCTCCGGGATGCCTGGGATCGAGTCCCGTGTCGGGCTCCTTGTGGAGAGCCTCCTTGTCTCTCTGCCTGTCTCTCTCTCTCTGTGTCTCTCATGAATAAATAAATAAAATCTTTTTTTTTTTTTTTTTAATTTTTTTTTTATTTATTTATGATAGTCACACAGAGAGAGAGAGAGAGAGGCAGAGACACAGGCAGAGGGAGAAGCAGGCTCCACGCACCGGGAGCCCGACGTGGGATTCGATCCCGGGTCTCCAGGATCGCGCCCTGGGCCAGAGGCAGGCGCCAAACCGCTGCGCCACCCAGGGATCCCAATAAAATCTTTAAAAAAATAATAAAAGTAATCTCCACACACAACATGGGGCTTGAACTCAAAACCCCCAGATCAAGCGTTGCAAGCTCCACTGACTGAGTCATGCATGTGTCCCTTCCAGAACTCTCTTAACCTCCCCTGTCCTTACAATCAAAACCATGAATGCTTGCCTCTTTCCCTATATCATACTTCTCAGTCCTAAGTTCCACAAAGGAAACAGGTTTCCAAAAAGCAAACTCCAGAACAGTTTCTGCAGTTGACAGTAATGAGAGATACTACAAATGAACTGCAGACTGCTTTTTTTTTTTTTTCTAATTGACAATGCAAGTTGTATCACACCTCAACTAGGTGTGTTACAAAAATGTTCTTTGGTAGTTACAGGAAAAAGAAAATCTCAGCATATTGGAGGCAGGGATGAAAGGAGGGATTTTCAAAATGTTAAGGCTCCTTTTAACTTCAGTTCTCATCTTCCATTAAAAAAAATGTTTATTAGCAATTAGCATAGGTTTGGATTGACCTGCTTTAATCTTTTGAGCCTCAGTTTGTTCATCCGTAAAATGCTGATACCAACAGTACCTTCACCTCACAGGGTAACTGCGCGGATTAACTAGGTAACACACACAAAGCTAACAGTAGAGTGTGGTGCACTGAGTGACTTAAAAACGTTAGCTTAAAAGAAATCTGAAGGATATGGTATTCTTGCCTTCATCCAGAAACATAAATCTTAAAAAATAAATCTACAAATCCTTGTTGCCAATTTTATTGTGAAATGATATATTTTTCCTGTTCATTTATCTAACATTTCGATTCAAGAAACTTGGAGGCTACCTCGGAATACGGATTTAGATGAAAGCACATCTAACGGGCAAAAGTTTCATGTTAAAAGGGAACTTTATAAAGAAAACACCTAGGAGACCCACTGATAAAACGACAGTCATGAAACTTAAAAAAAATAATAATAATAATAATGCCCATTTTAGCTGTGATCATATGCAGCTGTTCCTTTCAAAATCAAGTCACCGTTTGTTCTTTCTTCTCTTTTTTTCCTGACACTACACAAGTCTGCTTTCGTTAAAAGCCTCCAAGACACAGCTTCTCCGACACCAAAACCTTCTGGGAGCCACACAGCGTCTACGGCGCTGGAAGGGTCACTCTAGGGCAACTGTCACTGTCAGTAGCACGACCGGCCGCCTCCGGGGGACTCCGGGGGACTTGGGTGGTGCAGAAGTGGAGGGGAAGGCTGGTGTCTGAAGCCAGGTGGCCAGCGAGGGCGCCTGAAAGGGAAGAGGTCTAGCCGAGACCCGGGGAGGAGGCCGAGGGTCTGGCCGGTGGGGCCGCCTGCCGGGGGGGCGGGGGGGGGTCAATTCCGGGGATGCACGCCCGCGCCCGCGCCGGCGCCCGCAGGAAGGGACGCAGGTGTCGCCCTCCCTCCCCCCCCCCCCCCCGCACTTACCTTTCTCGTCCTCATCGATGCGCAGGGCAACGGAGATGTACTCGAAGGCCTGCTTGTGGAAGGCGCGGACGCGCTCGGCCTCCCCGCCCGGCACCGGCGCGGGGGGCGAGGCCGAGGCCGGCGCCGGCGCGGCCCGGGAGCTCCTCTTGGCAGCCATGAGGGCGCGGGAGAAGCGCTGGCAGAGCCACACGAAGAGGAGCCCCAGGTGGAAGGCGACCAGACGCAGCAGCGCGAAGCCCAGGAACAGCGGGTACGAGAAGTAGTACAGGTTCCGCTTATGCGGAGACTCGGGCGGGGGGGCCGGCCTGGGGGCGGGACGCGCGGGCGCCAGGCAGGGGGGCGGAGGCCTGGGAGGCACCGGGCTGCTGCCGCCGCCGCCGCCGCCGGAGCCTTTCTTCTTCCCTCGTCCACCCGGAGAACTCATTCACAGCTCCCACTGCCGCCGCCGCCATAACCCGCCTCCCGCAGACCGACGGCGACCAAGGACGGCGGCGGCCACTGGGACGGCGCGGGCCACAGACGCCCGCGCGCCCGCCGGTCCCAGGAGCTCGGCACCTCCACGCGCTGCCCGCCGGCCCCGCCCCTCTCTCCTCGCTCGGCCAGGAGCACAACCCCTTTCCTCCTCCCGCGGTCGGCGGCTCCTGCCCCGCCCGCTCTGCGTCCCCCCGGCCTCCTGGTAGCTCCGAGCGGTGGCCGCGCACGCGCACGCGCACGCCTGCCCATGGCTTTCTCCGGCGCGCGCGCGCACGCCGCCCTCTTTGTTGACCGAGCTCCTACTGCGCGTGTGCGGCCCGCGCCCCTCGCGCCCCTTCGCTGCGGAACTACGATTCCCAACGTCCAGTTCGGCTACGTGGTCCTCGGGCTCTGTCGCTCTACGGGTAACGCCGTCGCCGGGAGCCGCCTGGCAGAGGGGACCTCGGCCACCCACTCTCGGCGGGGACAGCTGCGCCTTGGGGTCGCGCTTGCCTGGTTCGCAGGGCTCCCAGCTCGCAGTGTCATCGCTCTTACAGTCCTTTCACCATTTTCTGCCCGACTCCCGCAAAGGAGGATTCCTCTGACTCCCATCTCCTAAAGTAATGGGTGCCATGAAAATAATTTCGATCGTCTATCAAGAGGAAAATGATTAAACGGATTTTGGGACAACCATATGGAATTCCGTGGAGCATTTAAAAAGAACGAGGCGGATCTATATGTACTGGTAAAGAAAGGTGTCCTCCACGATATATTCAGTGAAAACAGAATGTCACAAACCAGTGTGATCTCCTACTTTGCATGAAAAAGAATAAATGGAAAGAAAAAAAGTCACGAGTACCAATCTGGGGATTAATATCCGACAGGGAAGCAATTGGGAGACACAAAGTTAAGATCGCCGAAGACAAAAATATTAGCTCGGTGGAATGAAGTGGATGCTTCTACGCGTTTATTTAGTACAGGTTTAGAGGCCTATTTTGAAGAATTAATTCGTTTAAATGGGGGCATTCCTACGTTTTGCACAGTAAACATCCCACAGTTTACAGAAGAATCCAAAATGGGCCTTTTTTTTTTTTTTTTTTTTAAGCCTCCTGGCTGTCCCTTCCTTTGGGGAACTACCCACTCACCTCTGCTGCCTCTGTGTCAATGAGCTGCGAGCACTGAACCCAATCTCGCAGATCCCGGAGGTGGAAACATGAGGTTAATATACTCTCCCAAGAAGCTGGAATTTTGGATGGACACACTGGGGTAGAAGGTAGTAGGAACTGAGTGCCCTAAGGAGCTATCAGTTCATCTCATTGAGATCCCCAGTGCTGCCAGGTTCCTGGACTGGTCACTTGATAGTGTAACCTATCCAATAAACTATTCAGTTCTGTTTCTCTATTTCTATTTCTCTCCCTTTCTCCATCTACCGACCTCCCCCCCCCCTCTTCTTTTTACTTAGGTTAACCATCGTTTTTTGTTCCCTAAAACTAGAATCCTAACTGACATAAAGTTCCCATTGTTTACAGAGTGAGGTTTGCAAATGCTTCATGCCAGCTTCTGATAATCTCCATATTCTGGCCACGACTTTATCTAATTTTTCCCCACCACTTCTTCTCTGCAAACATAAGTTATTGTGAAAATGACCTACCCCTCCTCCAAATGCTCCCCACCCCCTTTCCTGCCTCTGGGTTTCTGTCAATTCTTCCTTCGGATAATGTCCTCTCTGTTTTACATCTGATTAATTTCAATTCCTGAGTTCTCTCTTTTGAATCTCATAGTACTTTTTGTTCTTGTTATATGAAATCTGTATTTATATATATGTCATGTAAACAAGATGCATATAACTTATATATATAAAGAAAAATGATGAAACAGCATCCGGTTTAAGAGAAAGTAAATGTAACCTGTTCCTTGAAGCACTTTGTGAGCTCCTTCCTAATCTCAATCTCATTTCTCCCTCCCTAGAGGAAGCCACTGTCCTGAATTTTGTACTCATTGTTCCTTTGCTTTTCATTTTAGTTTTGCAATGTACATATATCGTACATATATTTCTAAACAATAAATTGTATAGTTTTGCCTGGTTTTACCTTATGCAAATGCAACATGTATTCTTAATTAGCTTTTTTCTGCTCGATAGTCAAGTGTTTGCAGTAACTCCTTGTTGATTTGTATAGCTATAGCACATTTATTTTAACTGCTATGTAGTATTCTACTACTTGAATTTAAAACAATTTATTTTACCATTCAACTGTTGATGGATATTTAGTTTGGTGCCAGTTTTGTTTTTGTTTTTCCTTAAATAACTATTTAATTTCACCAGGACACATTCAAAGTAGAGCGGCTCTGGAGTCACACTGGTTGCATTTAAATCCCTGCTCTACCATTTTCTCTGATCTTGGACTACGGAGTGACTCAGCTTTCACATCTATTACATAATAGAGTAGTAGGTAGTGCCTGGAGTAAAGTTACTGCTCGGTATTTTTTGATTGAAGAATGGTTCTCTCACGTGTACACATATACTATAATCCACTAAAATGAATTGCTATCAAGTTTCCAAACATTTGTTGCTCTTTCCTAGGACCACAGTTATCCTCAGGTCATTTTTCTTTCCCTTTAGAACTGCTTCTCCTCCTACTTCCAATGTCAAAATCCTTCATCGCTTAACTGTAATGTTATTTTCTTTGGGATGAGGGCAGCAGAGCAAGGTTTACTGAATGATAGCAAAGCAATAGTACAAAGTTCCCAAAGTAGGAGGGGACCCGCGAGGATAGCCCTGTAATGTTTCTTCTGGATAAATCCTTCCATTATCGCCACCTTCAGAAATGATCCAGTCTTTTTTTTTTTTTTTAATTTTTTTTTTTTATTTATTTATGATAGTCAGAGAGAGGCAGAGACACAGGCAGAGGGAGAAGCAGGCTCCATGCACCGGAAGCCCGATGTGGGATTCGATCCCGGGTCTCCAGGATCGCGCCCCGGGCCAAAGGCAGGCGCCAAACCACTGCGCCACCCAGGGATCCCATGATCCAGTCTTTTAATTCTTATGATGATTTGGTTTTGTTACTCTCTGGCTCTTGTTAATATATATTGCCTTGTGTGATAATATGTATTTCCTTGTGTGATAGTTATTTAAATACCTTATCTCCGGACACCTGGGTGGCTCAGAGGTTGAGCATCTGCCTTTGGCTCAGGGTGTGATCCTGGAGTCCAGGATAAATACTTTATCTCTTCCTGATATAGATTATAAACTTAAAAAACTTATTTCAAGGCAGTAGCCAAACTTCACACATTTTGGCTTACTTTCTGCATCTAGCCTGATGTCTTACTTATGGTACTCCATAAGTATTAATAATTTGAAAATCAATTCAAACAGGTGATTGTTGCAGATATCTGTTACTATGTAATAAACCACTCCAAAAACTTACGGGTTTAAGATTATAGCCATTTATTTACTCATGATTCTGTGAGTCAGCAATTTGATCTGGGTTTACCAGGCAGTTCTTCTAGTGGCCTTGCCTGGGGTCATTCATGTAGATGTTAGTCATCTGATGGCTTGATTGGGCCTGTGTGGCCTAACTATCCTCCCTCACATTATCCAGATGGTGGTGGTGGCCATTGGCTGGGCCATTTGTCTCCAGAAGGATATTCCAGACTTCTTTACATAGCATCTGGCTTCCAAGAGACCAGGAGATGGAGCTGCAAGGTCTCTTGAAGCCTAAACTCTACATCTTCATGTTGTCATTTCTGCTGCATTCTGTTGTCAAAGAAATCACAAGGCCAACTCCAAAGTAAGAGATGGGAAATTAAATTCTATGCTTGATGGAGGAGTGGCACACTGCAAAGGAGGCATATATATATATAGATAGGGATAGAAGAAATTGTTGTGACATCTCTGCAAGAAATCTTTTTTTAAAAGATTTTATTTATTTATACATGAGAGACACACAGAGAGAGGCAGAGACATAGGCAGAGGGAGAAACAGGCTCCCTGAGGGAGCCTGATGTGGAACTCCATCCCGGGACCTGAGATGGGATCAGGGATCCCAGGGATCACACGTGACCTGAGCCAAAGGCAGATGCTCAACCACTGAGCCACCCAGGCGTCTCTCTGCAAATTATCATAGTGATTATGTGTAGAATTTCCTTTTACCTCAAGTTCAGAGTTTCAGCTTAAATTTTAGATAAACTGCTCATCTAAGAAAGCATTTCCCAAACATTTTGCTGAATCATAAAAACCTTCTTAGTTTTGATCATGAGCTAAGTTAAATCAACACACGTAATTTTAAGGTGACAGCAACAATGATAATCATGACTAGGACCACCAGCTAATATTTATTGAATCCATATTCTGGGTTAAGCCGGTTAACTTATATTCTCTTATTCAACCATCACTATTTGAATTAAGCATTGTTGTCTCATTCTTATTTTTTATTTATTGTTTATCCCCCCATTTTTAAAAATAAGGAACTTGAAGCTCTAATAGTCTGTTACTTGCCCAAACATATTAATGACACATACCACTTCGGAGCTTCAGGGAGTTAAAGTAAAAATGTAGGCTTCCAAAGAAAAACATTTTTACATAGTCTGTTTATATACTATCAATTATGAAATACATGTCTCTTCAGCCCCTAGAGCAGGAGTGATGTTTTGTTCCTTGGCATCCTGGTGTTGAGTCTCCAGCCTCAATAAATTCTGTTTCTTTTACACCCACAGTGTTATTCCAGAAACCAGACGTTCCTGGGATTTCACTTTGGAGTCATCTCAATCCACATCTCCTGCCTCTTGGAATTATGTCCCAGGCAAACCCATTTTTCTGAAGTGACCTCTTCCTAAATCTGCCTCAAGAGAAATAGTGCCGAGCTGTAATCCTGGCCTAGATTGAAGATCCTAACCTCAGTCATTTAACCTACAGTGTGATGGCCTCCCAGTTTTCAGATGGGAAGAACTTGCAGACACTTAATCTTGAAGGGAATCTGGGCCAGCTTCACCAGAACAAAAAGCAGGAGCTGAGTACTGTGCTAACTAATCCAGGACATTTGGTCACCGTATCACTTTAACCCATTAATTTATTTACCAAGTGACTATCACCAGATAGTTTTGGGGCAATTTTAGCCCTACTTCTCTTCTAAGGAATTCCTCAAACCTTCAGCTTTAGAGATGCTGGATTATTTGAAGTAGGGATGAATGACAGCTATTAAAGACCTCTTCTTTTTTTTTTTTTTTAAGATTTTTATTTATTTATTCATGAGCGACACAGCGAGAGAGGCAGAGACATAAGCAGGCTCCACGCAGGAAGCCTGATGTGGGACTCGATCCTGGGACTCCAGGATCACACCCTGGGCCAAAGGCAGGTGCTTAATTGCTGAGCCACCCAGGTATCCCAAGGAGCTCCTTTTCAATTAAAAGAAAAAAGTACAATAAAGTGGCCCACTTAGAACCAAGAGATTACTGATCTTGAAAAAGGCAGAAAATGAGAGAAACGAAGACATGGTTGGAGGTAAGGGAGGAGTAGAGTAACAATTGGGGGATTATTATCCTATAGCTGTGTTACTAAGCAAAAACATAATTGTGGGAACTAATCATTTCTTTTTATTGAGTCCACAGTGTGGTGCATATTATGCATTTATTTGTTAAACAAATTTGTATAGGGGATCCCTGGGTGGCTCAGCGGTTTAGCGCCTGCCTTTGGCCCAGGGCATAATCCTGGGGTCCCAGGATCAAGTCCCGCATCAGGCTTCCGGCATGGAGCCTGCTTCTCCCTCCGCCTGTGTCTCTGCCTCTCTCTCTCTGTCTCTCTGTCTCAGTCTCTCTCTCTGTCTTTCATGAATAAATAAATAAAATCTTTTAAAAAAATGTATAAAGCACAGACAGCATGCCAGGCAATGAGTAAGGTGCCAAGAATATAGGAGGGAATAAAATATACAGTAGCTAAAAAACTCAAGTAGCAACTAGCAACAGTGGTGAGACATATAACATATAGAGGTTCCTGGTGTAGCTGTGGAATTCAAAAATGTATGTATGATATGAATGAAAAATACTATAAGAAATTGGAGAGTAGCATCCCCTTATTAAACAGGACAGCTGTTACTTAGCTCCAGCTGATTTTTGCCTTTCAAAAACATGTGGCATCCTGTTGCCATACTTTTAAAACATCTCAAGAGAAACCAGAATTCTGAATTCTTATGTGAAATCTATGGCTGAGGAGATATTGGCGTAAAATTTAAAATCAAACAAACCAAAAACAAAACTGAGACACCAGTTTGAGATTCTCTAGTTTCCAGAGGATTTGTTTCTAGTGAAAGAGTGAATGAGCTCATGGTTTTGAAATAGTAGTAGGTGTAAGAGTATAAATTGTTATCTAACCTGCTCAACCTGATTTTTAAAGCTATGATGCTGTGGAGGCATATGAAGAGGCAGTTAATACAGAATTTGAAATGCATGCCCTGGAATAGCAATCTAGATTGTCAGAGGGTATATTCAATCATCACTCTGAGTACTTGGTTATAGAAATATAGTATTACATTTCTATATTTATGGTGGGCAGGGCATGTTTACTCTAGCACCTGTGAAAAGCAGGGTAATTTGCAACTGTTAGCACCAAGTGAACGCTGGGGCATGTAGAAAGAGTTGTCTGTTTTCAAGAGTGGTTTCTATCAACTGCAGTGACTTCAGAGAGCCTTCTTTATCCTTGACATCCTCCTTTCCATCTTGACAGGTAAGCTCAAATCCTATAGTCTGGTAGGGATACCTAAGTTTGTCCATTTACTCTCCTTTTTTAGTGTTTCAGTCTGTTTGATGTCCTCCTGCTCCTCCCAGCTTTGCTTAAATATTTATTCTTTGTTAATACTGCTCCAAAGACCCCTACTTACATATATCTCAACCTCATCTGAACTTCTTTAAAATTTATGCTCTGTATCATTCAATCTAACCTTTAATCAGTTATTATATTGTCATTTAAATGTATCATGTATGTATATATATCTAATGTAAATGAACTAGAATACAAATTTACTGTAATTTATATTTATTTAAATTACTCAAGGGACACCTTGGTGGCTTAGTGGTTGAGCATCTGCCTTTGGCTCAGGGAGTGATCCTAGGATCCAGGATGGAGTCCCACATTGGGCTCTTTTTTTTTTTTTTTAAGATTTTTATTTATTTATTCATGAGACACACACACACAGGAGAGAGAGAGAGAGAGAAACACAGGCAGAAGGAGAAGCAGGCTCCATGCAGGGAGCCTGATGTGTGGAATTCGATCCTGGGACTCCAGGATCATGCCCTGGGCCGAAGGCAGGTGCTAAACCACTGAGCCACCCAGGGATCCCCCCACATCAGGCTCCTTGCAGGGAGTCTGCTTCTCCCTTCTGCCTGTGTCTCCCTTCCTCCCTCCCTCCCTCTCTCCCTCTCTGTGTCTCTCATGAATAAATAAATAAAATCTTAAAAAAATAAATTCCTCAAGAGTTTAAGATCCCTTAGATCACCTTCTTGGTGATTTGCTAGAAGGACTCATGGACTCAGAATATGGTCATAGCTATGATTTATTACAGCAAAAGAATAGAAAGCAAAATTAGCAAAGGGAAAAGGCACATGAGGCAAAGTCTGGAGAAAACCAAGCACCTGCTTCCAAGAGTCTTCTCTCAGTAGAATCACACAGGACATATTTAATTCCTCCAGCAATGAATTCTGACAACATGTGTGTAATATTGTCTACCATGACACTCATCAGAAACTCAGTGCTTGGGTTTTTACTGGAGCTGAGCATGTAGGCACCCTCTGGCTAAGATATACCAAAATTCCAGACTCCTAGAAGCAAGGCAGGTATATAGAAGAAACCATAGTGTTTGTACAAAAAGTTTAAGCCACTCTCATCACTTAGGGAAAGTTTTGTATTTATGTAGGGAACTGTTTATCATTCAAATTCCCAGATACCAACCTTGGGAGCAGGCCTTTCCAAGGATAGAAGTTTCAGGCTTGCTATGTTAACTCTTTTCTACACACAACCCACAAATACTTGGGTGAAGGGAAGCATGAACTGGAAGATTTTTCTTTTAGTGCTATCATACAACTGATTAGACTGATTGCCCACATAAATATTCTTCTCCAACACTGCATGTGTTATGTACAACAAACGGTATATTTTCCAATTACAGAAAATGTATCTAAATATTTTTACCCTATTTATTTATTTGAGAGAGGGAGAGAGAGGGAGAGAGTGTGAGCATGCAAATGCAATGAGGGGGAGGGGAGAGGGAGAGAGAGAATCCCAGCAGGCTCCATGCCCAACGCGAGCCTACTGTGGGGCTTGATCATGACCTGAGACAAAATCAAGAGTTGGATGCTTAACTGACCGGGCGACATAGATGCTCCTATTTATTTTATTTTATTTTATTTTATTTTATTTTATTTTATTTTATTTTATTTTATTTTATTTTATTTTATTTTATTTATTTTTAAAATATTTTATTTATTTATTCACGACAGACACACAGAGAGAGAGAGTGAGGCAGAGACACAAGCAGAGAGAGAAGCAGGCTCCATGCAGGGAGCCTGATGCGGGACTTCATCCGGGTGTCCAGGATCACACCCTGGGCCGAAGGCGGCGCTAAACCACTGGGCCACTGGGTCTGCCCTAGTCTTTTTTTTTTTTTTTTTTTTTTAAGATTTTATTTATTTATTCATGAGAGACACAGAGAGAGAGAGAGGCAGAGACACAGGCCGAGGGAGAAGCAGGCTCCATGCGGGAAGCCCTATGCGGGACTCGATCCAGGGACCCCAGGATCACTGTCTGAGTCGAAGGCAGGAGCTAAACCTTTGAGCCACCCAGGGATCCCCATGCCCTAGTCTTTTTATTTTAAAGCAAATTCATGCTTTTAGGGGGGAAAAAGTTCAAGCAATATACAAGTTTGGAAAAAACAAAGACTCCCTCAGCATTTTCCCTTTTAATATTTTGTTTTATATCCCAGGCTTTTTGCTATGCCCATACAAATATATACATACAAAAATAGATTCTTACTATAGAGATTTTCCTATAACATGCATTTTTCACATAAAATTATGTAGCAAATGTTTTTCATACCAGTACCTATGGATCTATTTTAATCTTTTCAGTGTTTACACACTAGCCCATTGTATTATCATAATTTAACCTATTCCCAATTTTTTTCTGCTAAAAACTATGGTACAATAAGTATCCTTCAATTCATACTTTTTTTTTTTTTGTATTTCTATGGGATAAAGTCGTGGAAATAGAAATGGTGTGCCAAAGTGAAAATTCTGTTTTAGTTTATCCCTCTTATGGTAAACTATCTTGAAGTCTTTATATAACATGCAGCAATGATTTTTTTTTTTTGAGAGAGAGAGAGAGAGAGAGTGAGAGAGCAGGAAGGGGCAGAAGGAGAGGAAGAGAGAATCCTAAGCAGGCTCCACACTCTAGCCTGGAGCCTGACATGAAACTCAGTCTCACAACCATGGGATCATGACCTGAGTGGAAATTAACAGTTGGGCACGTAACCAACTGAGCCACCTAGGCACCCCAACAGTATTTTTTGACTGGCTATTCAGCGTCCGTTCCCTTTCTTTTCCATTCCTACCCATTCTAAGGCTTTCTCTTGTAGAACCAATCCCCTCCCATTATATAATGTTCATACAATTCCAGTGGGATCAACTACTACCAGGTCACATCCTTGTCACTGTTGAGGAATGGACAGTAATTCAGGTCCATGCTAGTCAGTACATGACATCTACTTTATCAACATAACTGGTTCAAAATGGACAGATCCAAGCAAAGTTCAGACTTGTGGTACATGGGTGGACCTAGAGAAGTGATGCTTTGTTTTTGAATGTGAAAAAGAAACATGTTGTCCTGAGTACTTCTAGCAATGATTTCTTTACCATGAGAAAGCAGCCTGAGATTGAAGCTGATACATTAAAGAGATGAAGGTAAGAAAATTGTAGACAAACAGTATAAAAGCCAGACTAGACCTTGTTAGATACCCACCTTACTACCAGGGTTTTCAATTGTTACTCAAAAGTCTGGTTTGTTGCTTAACAAACTGGAATTGAGATTTGTTACTGGAATCCCAAAGGATACTAACTGATACATTTGTCCTCTATTTGTGCACAGCCTGGAGCACAATCTTTGGAATGAGATGGATATGGGTTGAAATTTCAAGTAGCCATGTGAGTATGTAACATTATGTGACAAATTTGTTTTCCTTTTTTTTTTTTTTTTTTTTAAGTAGGCGTCACACCCAGGGTGGAACCAAACACAAGGCTTGAACTCCCGACTCTCAGATCAAGACCTGAGCTGAAAAAGAGTTGGACACTAAATTGATTGAGCCACCCAGGCACCCTGACAATTTTCTGAATCAATTTTATTATTTTCTTTATGGGGATAATTGTATCTGTTTTACTGGGGGATTACAGTATTATGTGGTAGAATATGTAAATCACTTCACTTGAACCTAGTTGGGAATTCTAATTCAATTTTTTTTAAATTCAGGTTTTTTAGGGGGGTTCTCTCATATAGATACAACAGCAATGCATTCTGATAATGATACTATAAAGAAAAACAAATTTACATAGTAATCTGGTATTAAAATTAGGTGGCATAACTACCAATTTCTATTTTGCTGCCCATGTTTGTCTTTAAGAAGAGAAAAGGTTTCAGGGCATCTGGCTGGCTCAGTAGAGTATGTGACTCTTGATTTTGGGATCATAAGTTCTAACCCTACATTGGGGGTAGGGATTACAAAAGGGGGGATGGTTTCAATATAAGTTAACATGGAATGCCTCTGGATATTTTAAGATTAAAAGATATCAGGGGTGGCTGGGTGGCTCAGTCAGTTAAGTGTCTGATGATACAAGGGTCATGGGATTGACGAGCTACTGAGTCTAGCTCCCTGATCAGCTGCTACTCTCCTTGGCTCCCTTTCCCTTTGCTCCTCACCTGGCTGTCTCATGCACTCTTTCTCTCTCTGGAATAAATAAATAAATCTTTAAAAAAATGATATCAAAGTTATATATTGTACTTATTACTTAATAACCCATGACCTATTTATAAATATATATTTGGATTCTAAAAAGAAAACATAAAGCATAAAATCAACATTTAAAAAATATTTTATTTTTTCATGAGAACACAGAAAGAGAGAGGCAGAGACATACGCAGAGGGAGAAGCAGGCTCCATGAAGGGAGCCTGATGTGGGACTCGATCCCAGGATTCCAGGATCACAACCTGAGCTGAAGTTGGATGCTTAACCGCTGAGCCACCCAGGCGTCCCAACATTTTTTTCTTTAAAGTAATCTCTACATCCAATGTGGGGCTTGAACTCATAACCCTAAGATCAAGAATCCCATGCTTTTCCAACTGAGCCAGCCAGATACCCCTAAAATCAACACTTTTAAAAACTGAAAATCATTTTGAAAATCTTAAAACAAAATCTAAATATAACCAACCTGTTATGGAGAAATGGAAGGAATAATGGACAGTTTAGGGATTGGAGATTGTAGTAAGTTTAGCTTTTTTATTACCCTCTTTGCTAAGATCATGTCTGTATCATAAAAATCCAAACACATTCTATTCATGTCTTTATTTTATTTTATTTTTATTTATGATAGTCTCAAACACACACACACACACAGAGGCAGAGACACAGGCAGAGGGAGAAACAGGCTCCCTCCAGGGACCCTGATGTGGGACTCGATCCCGCGTCTCCAGGATCGCGCCCTGGGCCAAAGGCAGGTGCCAAACTGCTGCGCCACCCAGGGATCCCTATTCATGTCTTTAAAAGGCCATTTGGGGGTCACCTGGGTAGCTCTGTCTTTGGTTCAAGGCATGATCCTGGGGTTCCAGGATCGAGTCCCATATCAGGGTCCCTGGAGGGAGCCTGCTTCTCCCTCTGCCTATGTCTTTGCCTCTCCGTGTGTCTCTCATGAATGTATAAATAAACAAAATCATTTTTTAAAAAGCCCATTTAGCATATTATTTGGTATACCAATATTTCTGAGATGATGATGGTGATGGGGTGGTTGGGCACGGGGTTTGGTAGCAGAGACACAGGAGCTATGGGTAAAGTAGTTGTCTTTTTATCAGCCACCAAAAGACACTTCCTTGGAAAATGAGTAACCAAATCTGGAACATATATTTCTAGGTCTTCTTCAGAGGTAGTTGGTGTCCCTTCCCACAAACTGTCCTCAGAGGGCCCATTTACACTCAATAAATTCTATGTCTTCCTTTACAAATACGTTAGCGTTTTTGTGTATGAGTGTGTACTGAATCATGTACTTTATTTGAGCACTTTCTCCCAAATTAATTAAAAGAAAACAGAATAGGAACAAAAAAGGTGACTATGGGGACACTGGGGTGGTTCAGTGGTTGAGTATCTGCCTTTGGCTCAGGGTGTGATCCCAGAGTTCTGGGATCGAGTCCAACATCGGGCTTCCTTTATGGAGCCTGCTTCTCCCTCTGCCTGTGTCTCTGCCTCTCTCTCTCTCTCTCGCTGTCTCTCATGAATAAATAAATAAAATCTTTTAAAAAAGTGGTCTATGTTATTATAACAAAGCAGTAGTTATAGATAAAATAGAATGTCTCACTTATATTTATATAGCTTCACACAAAGCAGTTTCATCTATTTTATCTCATTTGATCCTCTACACGAATTATTATCCTAATCTATACGTGTAAAAACATGAAGCTCAGAAGAGTTAAACTATTTGTTTACTTCCACATGGCAAACAATGAAGGAATCAGGTTCTTTTTTTTTAATTTTTATTTATTTATGATAGTCACAGAGAGAGAAAGAGAGAGAGGCAGAGACATAGGCAGAGGGAGAAGCAGGCTCCATGCACCGGGAGCCCGATGTGGGATTTGATCCCAGGTCTCCAGGATCGCGCCCTGGGCCAAAGGCAGGCGCCAAACTGCTGCGCCACCCAGGGATCCCAGGAATCAGGTTCTAATACTCATCTAATCACAAATCAAGTGTTTTTCTACTATATATATTACATTATTCCTAAGTCGGTTTTGTCTAATAGGCTAGTGTTTTATTTTTTTATTTTTATTTTTTAAAAGATTTATTTATTTGAGATAGAGCAAGAGAGAGAATACATAAATCAGGGGTGGGTGGAGGGCGGCAGAGGGAGAGGGAGAAGCAGACTCCCCATTGAGCAGGGAGCCCAATGTGGGGCTCCATCCCAGGACCCAGAGATCATGACCTGAGTCGAAGGCAGACTCTTAACAGACTGAGCCACTCAGTGGCCCCAATAGGTTAATGTTTTGTAAGTGGAATTTGCACCAAGTCTGTAAAAAGGGGGTCAAGCACATAATTTTTCTTTATTATTCTGGATTCTGGAATTCTAGTTCTAGAATCTATAAACTACTGTTTATTCTAAACTTCAAGAAAGACAAGTCTAGAGTGGTGCTTTGGTGCAAGTGCTTGCCTTCCCTATACATTCACTTCTTTTAAAAAACATTTATTGAATATAAGAAATATATGTGGAGATGAATATAACAAATTTTTGCCTTTGAAGAACTAAAAAATCTAATTGTGTTTAACTGCACACAACATATAAGGTAGGATGAGGTAAGTGCTTAGTAGAAAGACATGATAAAAGCAGATGAGAGGAGTCTTGAACCAAGTTTGGAATGACAAGGCCAAATGAGAGTTAAATGTTCTTCTCATTCTTCTAATTTATCCCTCTCTAGAGTACACATTATTGCAAATTTCTGTCATAATCATAATTCTCAGGGCCCATCCTCTTTATAATTTTTTAAAGATTTTATTTATTTATTCATTAGAGACAGGGAGAGAGGGAGGGGGGCACAGGCACAGGCAGAGGGAGAAGCAGACTCCACACAGGGAGCCTGATGTGGGACTTGATCCTGGGATTTCAGCATTACGCCATGGGCCTAAGGCAGGCATCAAACTGCTAAGCCACCCAGGGATCCCCTAGAATTTTTAATTTCATATAAGAACTCAGCATTCTGCAGTCTCTTCAATTAACTTTATAGTTCCTATCATTTTCTTGCTAAGTCATTAACATCATTTCTAGCTGTCATTTTTTTTCCCTCCCATCTCTCTGCTGTGATGGTGTGTTCTTTTTTTCCACAAGTTGTAAATGTAAAAAAAATTGGTGAAGCTTTTTTGTAAACCTCACATAAGTTTTTCCTGGTTTGAGAGAAACCTGGCTGATAGTTAATTATTCTGTTTGCTCCTTTTGGTAATCATATATGCATGTATCTTACACACACACATAAAGATATATATGATCTTTAGTAGTGTCATTGTATGTATTTGTATTCAGTTTTGACTATGGATCAACTCCATATATGTTGTGAACCTTAGTATGTTACAGGCACTGTGTGAAGGACTAAGTTACATAAGACAGGTCCCTGTCTTGAAGGAGCTCATTCTAGCTTCTATTTTACTAAAACTGTCAGTACTTAGAAAATATAAATTAGCAGTTCTCAATGACTTTCTGGAATTTGGAAATATTTATTGAGTGCTTACTATATATTAAGAAATCTACTAATATATGATAATATAGCAATGTACATAACTGTTAAGTTTCCCCAACTATTTTCTAGACATATTTACTGTTATTTCCCACTCCTGAAAAGCATTTAATCTTAATTTATGTAGTAGTAAATTTCTGTATCCTTTATATATGTGTCCACATCTTTGCGTCAGTCCTACATGAAACATCCTCAAGATGCCTTATGGTAACTGCCACCAATTACAATATTAAACAAGTAAACGTCACAAAATTAAACTTTAAAAACGTACGCATACATCTAGTTCCCAAATTTATTTAGATTTTCATCTGTTCAGTTTTTGCAGAGTAGCAAAACTTTTTTAGTTGTATTCTTTCTTTTTCAAAACTTAATGTTATAACCATAAATGTTTCTGTATTTCTGGAATCATGACTTTCAATAGCTTACATCCCCTTATATTGGTATGACATATCTAGTCTCCAAATATTTAATATGAAGTTTTCAAACTTTCATACTATAGAGTGCAACTACAAATGGGACTGTTGAATTAAAGGTAGGAACTTTAATGAGTGTTATCACTTGTATTTACATTAAAATAAATGGCAAAAAAAAAATAAATAAAATAAATGGCATTTATTGGGATCCAAGCAATCCTGTTTGCTATTTACGAGCTGTTAAGTAGAAGGCGAATGATCCTTTGTGTTTTTTTTTTTTTTTCACAAATGCAATAGTATCAACAGTATCACACTTTGGAAAGCCAGTTGCTTTTTGCAAACTTTGATACAAATGTAAGGTAGCATCAACACCGCAGATTCGCATATTGGAGGTCTTGAGCAAGGCTTACCGGGAAATCCCCAAACACTGCTTCTTCCCCCACCTTTTTAGAGTAAAAAACACTGACATTCTTTCGCTGACTGCTTGGCTTAGGTCTGATTTTTCGTTCAGAACCACCCAGGGAGTGGGTGACTGAGCTTCCGCAGAAGCTCTCCCAAAAGCGGCACTGGGGGCTGGGCGGGCCGAGCCCCTGCCAGCTGTGGTGGTCCCCGGGTCTGCAGCTGGGGTGGCGCTCGCCTCGGTGTGCAGGCTGCAGAGCCCGTCTGCCGCAACCTTCGAGGCCCGGTCTCGGCCCGGTCTCGGCCCGGTCTCGGCCAGGACGCCCCGCCGACTGCAGCTGGGGATCGTGGACTCGAGCCGGGCGCTAGCCACTCCCCGCCCCGGGGCCCCGCGGGGCTGGTGGGAGGGGGGAGTTCTGCGCAGGCGCGGCAGTCGTGCGACATCCGTCACTTACGGCTGAAGCGGTTTGTGCTGGGAGTTGGTGGCGCGGTGCAGGGCTCTTAGGAACGAGCGGCTTGGGCGCGGGTAATCAGCTCCCTCTCCCCTCTTTCCCACCTCTTCTAGGTTCTTGGGACCACCGCGGAGCTTCCGGACCTGATGCGGGCGCCCTGTCTTGGACTGTCCCACCTAGCTCTGCTGCTCCGGGTGCTCCCGCGCCCAGGTGGGGGTGAGGGGCGGGGTCGGGGGCTGGGCTGGACTCCATCCTGGCGTCTTCGTGTTGAAATCTCCCGGGTAACTCACGGTTCTTCTTGTTTTCCAAGACTGGTTTCCGGGGATTGTGACTTGCAGGGTCCGCCATGGAGCCAGAGCAGATGCTGGAGGGGCAGACGCAGGTACCAGGAGGCCCTGGCTTCAGGGTGGCGGTGTGCAGCAGGAAGGGGTGGCTCGCGTCTCAGTGACCTGTGTTTTGTTTCCTAGGTTGCAGAAAACCCTCACTCTGAGTACGGTCTCACAGACAATGTGGAGGTAATTTCGCCCAGTTCTTATGCCGCCTCTGAACGTCTCTTATGAGCTGGAGCAAACTTGGGATCCTTTTTTTTTTTTTTTTTTAATTAAAAAAAATTTTTTTTTACTAGGTTGCTTTGCACAAGGGAAAACTTTATCAACATGAACTAAATAGTATCAAATCATGGGTAGCTTGTTTTATTAGCAGTAGTAATACCTCGTGCCATGCAGACGTTCACATTAGTTTTGAGTCAAGAGGTTGAACTTCTGAAAGTGATATAAAGAAACAAACATGCGTTACTAATGGAGACTGGCCAATCGTTTGGCTTGGTGGGTATTAATGAATCTGTTGGAACATTGCTTTGGAAAAAAAAAAAAAGCACGTTTAAAATTACACCCATTGTCTTTGTAGCAGAATAGTGTGCTCGTGGAGTTAACTTGTAATAAATGTTGATTTCTCTGCTGTTCAGTAGAAGGTGCGATGCCGTTGGAAGCTATAACACATAATAGACCTTGGTTTTTGTCTTAGTGAAGTCTGAATTCAAAGACTACATGTGAAAAACATACAAAAGAAGATAGACTTTCTTAGAGCTTTTTCGTAGAAGTGCTAGGAGGTGGTTGTTCAAAAGCAGACGTTATTTTGTAAATGAATGAGTAAATGCCAGGACAAAAGAATTAGCCAAAGCTGGGTAGGATTGGTTAGGAAAATAGAGGCTTCCGGGAGATGTGTGTGTTTTATTGGGAGCGGGTGGGGAAGGAGACATTGCCAGTGATTAAGTTTGGATAAATGCACATAACTATTTCCAAGCTGCTAATATTTCTTTGTGCTGTGTACCAGACACACTGCTAAGTAATTTACATGTATCTTTAGTCCTATAAAGCTCAGGGAAGTTGAATGCCTTGTGCAAAGTCACCAGAAGTATAGTGGAGGGCTGTGTGTTAAACGTAGGCAGGTTGACGTTTTTGAGGTACAGTTAAATTGTCTTGACAGTCTTGATCAGCTACTAGAGTTCCCTGGTATGTGGAATAACCACTCTGCCTTACAAAATTGCTAGGAATGTTTCTGGGTTTGATATCAGTATATTAAGAAAAACACTTACTATTTTCATAATGTAACCTTTAATTGAACCTGAAGATATTTTACACCACTTTGTGTTTCATCTACAAACTTCTTTATAGACATCAGCAGTCTTTTTTCTTTTCTTTTTTTTTCTTTTCTGCTTTTCTTGTTTTCAGCAGTCTTTTCTTGATGATGTTTGTATATGAAGGCAGAGTCATGATAGAGAAGAGCAGTGATTCCCAAAGGCTTTCTCTCAGGTTCTCAGACCAATTTCCGTGGTAGTGAGAAAAAAAATGAGAGTAGAGGGAGTGTTTGATACACTCTTTGGTGATTGGTCTTCCTGCTTCTATAGTTTCATTTTAAGATTTTATTTACTGATGACACAGAGAGAGAGAGAGAGAGAGAGAGAGAGAGAGGGAGGGAGGCAGAGACACAGGCAGAGACACAGGCAGAGGGAGAAGCAGACTCCATGCCCGGAGCCCGACGTGGGACTCGATCCCGAGTCTCCAGGATCACGCCTTGGGCTAAAGGTGGCGCTAAACCGCTGAGGCACCGGGCTGCCCCTCTTACTCTATTTCTGCCTTTAATGGCTTATAAGTTATAATTTCTTTTTAGGTGCTTGCTTTATAGTTTATCCATGCAAGTTTGACTTCACAATTTACCTTCAAGTGGCATTATTTCTTTTTGTGTAGAGTATAAGAACCTTACTTGTAACAAGGGCTCCTGGGTGCCTCAGTCAGACTCTTGGTTTCAGTGTAGGTCCCCCATCGCTTGGGTTGTGAGATCTAGCCCCTCATCAGGCTCCTAGTTCAGCAGGAGGTCTGCTTGAAAGATTTTCTTCCTCTGCCCTTTCCCCAGCTCGGTCCCTCTCTCTAAATAAATAAATAAATCTTAAAACAAACAAACAACAGTATTGTCCCATTTTCTCTCAACTGACCTTTGGACTGTTGTTAACATTTTACTTCTACATATAAGTCCTGTAATTCATTTTTTTTCTTTTTCTTTCTTTCTTTCTCTCTCTTTTTAAAAGATTTTATTTATTTATTCATGAGAGACGCAGAGAGAGAGAGAGAGAGAGGCAGAGACACAGGCAGAGGGAGAAGCAGGCTTCATACAGGGAGCCTGAAGTGGGACTTCATCCCAGGTCTCCAGGATCACGCCCTGGGCCAAAGGCGGTGCTAAACCACTGAGCCACGTGGGCTGCTGCATTATATTTTCCTTAAAAAGTTAATTATCTTTATTTATTTTATTTTATTTTAAAAATATTTTATTTATTTATTCATGAGCGACACAGAGAGAGAATGGCAGAGACACGGGCCCAGGGAGAAGCAGGCTCCATGCAGGGAGTCCGACGTGGGACTTGATCCCAGGACTCCAGGATCACGCCCCGGGTTGAAGGCGGCACTAAACCGCTGAGCCACCCGGGCTGCCCAGTTAATTCTCTTTAAAGAGATTTTTCTGAATATCTGAAAAGTCATTATTTTGTCCTTTTTTTTTTTTTTTTGGTCTTTATTCCTGAGATATTTTTGCTGGTATAGATTTGTTCCACTGTCTTTTTGGCTGACATCATTTCTGATAGGAAATCTGCAATCACTTCTGTCTTTGCGTCTCCATATTTAATGTCTCTTCTTTTGGTGCTTTTTTTTTTTTTTTTTTTTACGATAATCATACAGAGAGAGAGAGAGAGGCAGAGACACAGGCAGAGGGAGAAGCAGGCTCCATGCACTGGGAGCCTGACGTGGGATTCGATCCCGGGTCTCCAGGATCGCGCCCTGGGCCAAAGGCAGGCGCCAAACCGCTGCGCCACCCAGGGATCCCCCTCTTTTGGTGCTTTTACGATTTTATTACAGGTTTTTTTTTTTTTTTTTAAAGATCTATTTATTTATTCATGAGAGACACAGACTGAGAGAGAGGCAGAGACATAGGCAGAGGGAGAAGCAGTCTCCTTGCAGGGAGCCCAATACAGGACCGGATCCAAGATCCCAGGATCCCATCTTGAGCCGAAGGCAGGTGTCCAACTGCTGAGCAACCCAGGTGTCCCTTATTTCAGGTTTTAAATAATTTGATTATGATGTGTCTTTGTGTAGTTTTTTTTTTTTTTTTAAGTATGCAGCTTGTGCTTAGGATTCATCGAGTTTCTTGAATCTGTGGATTTAGAGTTTTCGTGAAATTTGGAAAATTTCAGCTTTTATTTCTTCAAGTATTTTTAAGTACTCTGTAAGCTTAATTTACTTATGTTTTTCCTCTCTTGAAGATGTGGAAGATGTTATAAGAAATGGTTTACAGCACTGCCTATTTTATTATCTGTATCATTTCTGGGTCTGTTTCTGTGGATTAAATTTTTTCCTCATTATGGGTAGTATATTCCTGCTTCTTTGCCTGTGTAGTGACTTTTTATCAGAGGCTGGGCATTGTGCATTTTACCTTGTTGGATACTGGCTATTTTTGTATTCCTTCAAACTTTATTGAGCTTTGTTCTAGGACTCAGTTAAGTTACTAAGAAACAATTTGATCCTTTCGAGGTTTGCTTTAAACTCTGTTAGGACCAGACTAGCCTTTAATTTAGGGCTAATATCCTCCTCTTTCATCTCCCCTAGAGCTCCATGTATTACAGTTTTCCAATTTTGGGTCACAGGAACATGAACTATTCTTGGCCTCATGTGAGCTCCAGGGATTGTGTCTCTTCATTCCAGGTGCCCTGGGTAGCTATCCTGTATGCATGCACTGATAAGTATTCACCTAAAGACTGCAAGGCAATCTCTTTAATTTCTTTCTGAATATACCTCTCTTCTTCGTGCACTCTTCAATACTCTGTCCTACAAATTCTAGTTGTCTTATTTCCCTGAAGTTTTAAGTCTGTCTTCTCAGCTCAAGGAGACTGCTGGGCTCTGCTTTGGTTCTCTGCATTGCATCCTATAAATTTTCTAGGCAGGAGGCGGTAACCTGGGATAATCCTAGTGCTCACCTTATTTTTTCCTCATATTTGTGATCAATGTTATACACCCTTAACACCTTTTACCTTTTAGGGAGGTGGTAATTTGGATGTACATATTTTTAGATTAATTCAGGATTTGGGCTTAACTAAAATTAAGCATGGCTGTTGGCACATAGTGGATATTCATTAAATGTTTGGATGAAAAAAATAAGAATATTTAGTCAAGGGATTTATTATTACATCTATAGGAGTTGTTTAGGCATTGTTGATTCTTATTGAAGGCATTGAAATATCATGTAACTGACTAGTTTTTGTCCTGCATGGGTATTATCTGTGGAAGTTTACCAAGGAACAATAAATTCTTAATCCATGAGCAAACAGATAGCTATTTTACACATTAATTAAGTACAGAAGATTATTGTCTCTTATGTTTCAAAATAAGATGAAAAAATCATGAGCAAAATTAGAATAGTTGGCTGACATAGTTGTGGAAAGTGTCTTTGGAAATCATGGTGTATATATATTGTAGGTATATGATTAAAGTTTTTGTTTTTTACCACTTTTTACAAAATAAAGTTGTCTAAAAAATTAAGTCTAGAAAATGTTATTTTGTTGTTGACTCATTTATATCCAGTGTGAGTATAACTGAAGCAAAAGTTCATTTTTAATTTTTATTTATTTTTATTTTTTAATTTTTTAAAGATTTTCTTTATTCATAGAGACACAGAGAGAGAGAGGCAGAGACACAGGCAGAGGGAGAAGCAGGCTCCATGCAGGGAGCCCGACGCGGGACTCAATCCTGGGTCTCCAGGATCACACCCCAGGTTGCAGGTGGCGCTAAACTGCTGCGCCACTGGGGCTGCCCAAAAGTTCATTTTTTAAAAATGATTTTATTTTTAGTAATATTTACACCCAATGTGGGGCTCAAACATACAACCCAAAGATCAAGAGTTGCATGCTCCACTAACTGAGCCAGTCTGGCACCTCAATATTTCATTTATTTTTTTAAAAATTTATTTTATTTTATTTTATTTTATTTTATTTTATTTTATTTTATTTTATTTTATTTTATTTATTTATTATTTATTTATTTATTTACGATAGTCATAGAGAGAGAGAGAGAGGCAGAGACACAGGCAGAGGGAGGAGCAGGCTCCATGCACCGGGAGCCTGACGTGGGATTCAATCCCGGGATTCCAGGATCGCGCCCTGGGCCAAAGGCAGGCGCCAAACCGCTGCGCCACCGAGGGATCCCTAAAAATTTTTTTAAAAAGATTTTATTTATTTATTCATCAGAGACACGGGGGGTGGGGTGGGGGGAGGCAGAGACACAGGCAGAGGGAGAAGCAGGATCCATGCAGAGAGCCCCATGTGGGACTGGATCCTGGGTCTCCAGGATCAGGCCCTGGGCTGAAGGCGGCACTAAACCGCTGAGCCACTTGGGCTGCCCCCAAAATTACATTTAAATGAAAGTGTTCTTAATAGTGTTTTGCCTTCTAGGTAGCCACTTATTTCTAATTTTCTAAAATGTTTGATTTGTAAAAGAATGAAAAGTTTTTCAATAAAGTAGTTTTTGATGCTCTGGATGTCAGATGAATCTACATGAAAGACGTAAAATTTGAAGGTTCTTAGGAGTAGAAAGTATGTCATTGTTTCTTAAACATCATTTAAATACCATATTAATGATCTTTTCTGTATTAGTAATTCTACCTTTTTTTGGCTGTCATTCGATTAATATTTGTTTATTCACTTTAAAAAATCATGAATGCATTTCTGTAAAAAAGAAACAAATGGAAAGGCATTCTCATTTTGATAGAGGCTAACCATAAAAATAAAAACAGTGAATACAAAATGGCATTAAATTTTAGCTATATTCTATTGCCTTTGGAAAGCTCTGAGCCTGAAGCCTGCTGTCTCTGTTAAGAGACTTTAGCAAGTGTTACAGAAGTGTTACAGACCTACTAAGTACCAAAGTGAGACTTTGTCCTTGATACTGTCTGTGATGAAAGAATTGAAACAGGTCTAGCTTTTTTACTGTGCTTCAGTGCTACTTAGTGTCAGACTTTTTTGAAGCATAGTGTAAGAAGGTATTCTTATGAAAAAAAAAACAGTAGCACTTGTATTTACTCCTCAACAGGCAGAAGGAAAGGGAGAAAAGGATCTGGAGATACTGGGGTGTATGGGCTGACTCGGTCCATAGGGCATGCAATACTTGATCTCAGGCTCATGAGTTTAAGCCCTATGTTGGGTATGGAGCCTACTTAATTTAAAAAACCAAGTAAGTAAAAGAATGAGATACTATGGTGCCTTCAGAGAGAAAAGGTTTAAATGGAATTTAGAGATGGGTCTGGTTTTTATTTTGGCAGAAAGATTTGCTATTCAATATCAGCTTTTCTAGTCATTGATTCTGTTAGTGTCATATTATCATTAATTTTTGTTTAGCACTCAAAATAATCCAGTTATTTGTAATATACATGCATGTTTTTTGAATCCACTAGAGGATAGTAGACAATGAGAAGATTAATGCAGAAAAGTCATCAAAACAGAAAGTGGATCTCCAGTCTTTGCCAACTCGTGCCTACCTGGATCAGACAGTTGTGCCTATTTTATTACAGGGCCTTGCTGTGCTTGCAAAAGAAAGGTAAGACAATAGTATCTGTAAATGGAGTTATCAGAGAAAGGAAAATAAAGACTTCTCTAATTGAAATATTGTTATCATTAGTTATGCTGAGTTATTTTTAAAATACAGGGAATTTATAGATATTAGAGTTTAAAAAAAAATAAGTCAGCCATAACTGAATTCAGATACTTTCATTTATCTGTACTAGTCTTAGATCATATGTATATTTATAAAACTTTCTAGTCATGGTGTACATGTAATTTTATATGTCTTTTTTACTTTATAACAAAACTTTTTCTATATCTGCATAGCTTTTGTGATTATAATTTAAATTATAACAATACTGCAGTTAATTTAGCCATTTTCTCATTGTTGAACACTTAGGTCCAATTTCCTTTGTTAATATAGGTTAGGCAATTTATATGTTTTCATGTCTCTTTTGCTTTTGTTAAATTACTTAAAAAGATTTTATTTATTTATTTGAGAGTGTGCCTATGTGAAGTGGGGGAGAGGGAGAGGGAGAGGCAGAGGCAGAGGCAGAGGCAGCGGCAGCCTCCCCGCTGAGCAGGGTGCTAACTTGGGACTTGATCTCAGGACCCTGGGATAAGGACTTGAACTGAAGGCAGATGCTTAATCGACTGAGCTACCCAGGCACCCTTGCTTAATTATGTTCTTGTGATACTTTTCCAAGAGTTAATTTGCTAGTTTGAGGAACATGACTGTTGTTATGTGGTATATGACACATAAAATCATTTTTCTGTCTAGAAGTTTATCCTTAAAGTTCTACTATCATAGCCTCAACAGCATGAGTGTTGCTATAAACTTTTCTTGCAAAGTTTTTTTTTTTTTAAGATTTTATTTATTTGAGAGTGAGTGAGAGAGTGAGAATGAGAGAAGGAGCAGGGGGTGGGGAGAGGAAGAAGGAGACGTCCCGCTGAGCAGAGAGCCTCAGGTGGGGCTCAGTCCCTGGATTCCAGGATCATAACCTGAGCTATAGGCAGATGCTTAACTGACTGAGCCACCCAAGCGCCGCACTTGCCAAGCGGTTTTAATTTATATTTCTTTGTTAGCAACATTACAGTTTTTTTCTTTACATGTTTTTTCCTATTAATTCTACCTAAATTCTTTTTGTGTAAGCAAATCCAATAAGAAAACTGTTTTCTTAAATTATATGTATAAAATAGGATTTGTTTATGACTGCAAGATAGATCTTGGCTCTAATACTGTCAATTAAAATATGGGCATCTTTTATATATATATTTTTTTATTCTTTATCTGCAGAAAGCCAGTATATGAGAAATTCTAAGTATTACTTTAAATACTAGAAGGAAAAATTTGAAGACGTTTTTAGGTAACATGCTGTTAGTAAATATACTTTTTAAGTAAGGAATTCTGGCAGAATTATTCATGAAATTATATATAGTATATGAAAAATTATTTATGTCTAGGCAGTTCAAAAGACCTACAAATTTAAGGGAATGTTTTGAGATCATTGTAAATTAATTCTAAATATGCCTTTTCATAGTAGGATTTTAAATAGCTGATTCCTCCAGCTTTTCATCTTTTGACTTGTTTTCTCAGCAAGAATAATTCATGGAAAAGTGATAAATATAAAATACATCTTTTGTTGACATTTTTTCCTAGTTTTATTGAGAAATAATTGACCTATATCACTGTATAAGCCTAAATCATATAGCATAGCATTTGATCTACATATATTGTGAAACGATACCATATCCATCATTTCACATAGATGCAATAAAAAGGAAAAAAAAAGAAATTTTCCTTGTGATGAGAACTCTTAGGCACTCTTGTCAACAAGTTTGCTATCACACAGCAGTGTTAGCTGTGGTCATTGTGTCGTATGTCATAGCCCATTGTGTTGTATGTCATAGTGTTAGCTGTGGTCATTGTGTCGTATGTCATAGCCCATAGTCATAGCCCTGGTACTTATTCATCTTGTAACTGGGAGTGTGTGCCCTTCGATCACTTTTAATTCCCTTTCTTCCACCTCTTAATTTTATTTTATTTTATTTTATTTTATTTTATTTTATTTATTTTTTATTTTCCACCTCTTAATTTTAAAATATGTTTATGTTCTTAGTTGCTCTGTGTTGTAGCAGTATTAAAATTATTATTGATTTAAGTATTTGAAGTAAAATAGAGGTACATTTTTAGAATGAAACATACCAGAACTAACTTGTCCAAGTGACTATTGAATCTTTTGATTAATTTTTCAGGAGTTCATCCATTTGTCTCAATGATGCTACAGCCATTTTCTTATATTGTTTTTGTACTCTTATTGAAGGTTGATACCTGTGGAGAAAATTGTGCATATTGTAGGTGTATGGTTTGATGAATTTTCAGAACCCAAACATATCCACATAACTTGTGCTCAGATCCAGAAACTGAATACTGTCAGAATTCTCCCTTGTGACCTCTTTAAGTCATTATCCCCCCGGGTAATCATCATCCCATTGTCAAAAATTACATTTTTGAAACTTGTGTTTTTAGAGTTGTATTTATAATCAGATGTAAGCCATATAAAACTTTCAGTCTCTTTTAACTATATTGTTGATTAACTTGCCTATTTCACTTACTGTATTTACTACAAATGGCCTTTGAGTGTAAAATGAAAATTAAACTGAAAAAGATGTATTTTCATTATGGAACAATACATTTAATTTAATACACTTAGAATATACATTTCTAAATTATGGATTTCTTTTCCCTTACAGACCACCAAATCCCATTGAATTTCTAGCATCATATCTTTTAAAAAACAAGGCACAGTTTGAAGATCGAAACTGACTTAATTGGGAAGAACAGAAAAATTTGGTTTCTACTGTAGATTTACATGATTAAGAGGCAGCTTTAATTGCCATGATTCCTCCCCCCCCCCCCCCTTTTTGGAAATATAAGAACCTTCAGGACAACAGAACTTATTTCCGGAATTGCAGAAGAAAACATATTTCCCTTATTTTGATTTAATTACCATACTTATTTAATGAGTGTATTCTGTGCAATTTTTTTCTCAGATTGTCTTTAACTTTGTTTTTAAAATAACCTTCAAAATAAACCATTAAAGCGTCATTATTTGAAAGTAGTTTTTATTCTATATGGCAAATACTTATATGGTTCAGTTATTTTCATGAATTCCTTCTTTCTTGGGTCTTAGAGTACTGCAGGATGAAAATACACCAGAGTCGAGTTTAACATAAAATAAAAAAATCTCTGCCAGCTTTTCTCAGCGTTGTCCCTGGACCTCTTGGAGGGTGGGATTTTTGCATCTTCGGTTTTTAATATCAGAGGTAACTAATTCACAGTGAAGTTGTAGTACTGTTATAAGCATTGTGGAGGGTGTACAATATCCTTCATTGCCAGAACACTTGGTGGTAATAATGTAATAGCCGTCTTTTATTGCAATTCTATGTGTCAAACATAATTACCATTTTACTTAAATTATCTTTAATACAGCAACTCTACAAAGTAGATATTGTTATTCCCATTTTGCAGATGAGGAAACATTTGGAGGGGTTTAAGTGACTTGCTCAAGATCATATTGCTGGTAAGTGCTTGAATGGCATTCAAACCCAGTCCTACCAATGTGTTGCTGATAGTTAAGTGAGAAGTGCTTGTGCAAGTTCACATCATTGCTTATTTGGCAATAAAAAACACCAACCAGTCCTTTTTTGGGGTCTGCTCACTTTGTCCTGTATGAAAAAATTAAGATAACTCATGAGCTCAGAAAAAAGAGAACTGTTTGAAGAAAGCCAGGTAGGAAGAATATTCATTAAGAGAAGCAGTTCTTAGTGGGGAATGGCTTCGCCCTCTCACCCCAAAGGACTTTTGGCCATGTCTAGAAACATTTTGGTTGTCACAACTGAAGTAAGGTGGAGTTCTACTGGCATCTAGTGGGTAATGAACAGGAATACTGCTAAATATCTTAAAATACACAGGGCAACCTGCTGCCCCACCCATCCCCAAGAATTATCTGCCACAAAATATCAGTTAGTGTTAAGATTGAGAAACCCTGCATAGAGGGGAACCTGGCTGGCTCAGTTTGTGTCATACAGTGCTCGATCTCAGGTCATGAGTTCAAGCCCCACATTGGGCCTAGAGTTTACTTACAGGAAAGAAAGAAAAGAAGACCCAGTTTTGGAGGAATGTTAAAGATGTGTGTCCAAGCTAAACACGTGAAGGTAGTTGAGGTATAAAGTATGCTGATGAGGTATGTCTTACAGTTCACTTTAACACAGGAAAAAGCTTATTTCAGTAGGAGTGACTAGTGGGGAGGTGACATGGTTTTGATTTAAAATTGCAGATCTGTACAGTTTGCATAAGAAAAGCCTGTAGCAATTGAGATCTCTTATATAGTAGTTTCCATAAATACTAATTCCATCAGATGCATTTAGGTTATTTGGCTAAATTCTACATAATCTGCTCAATTTTTTGGTGATATTTTAGCATTTGATTAAGTGCTAATTGGGTAATTTTTTATTAAAACATCAATAGTTTTATCATCTTAATGGCAGTTCTTCATCTGTGATTCACATCAGAGCCACTTGGGGAACTTTTCATATATATTTCATATATAAATAGCCCGAGAGCCTGATTAAATTGTGATAGAACCTGGCTTCTGAATTTGCCTCTTTGAGGCATTCTGATATACACCTCTGGTTAACCACCAGTTAGAAGTAATGCAGTACTCTGCCTATGCTCCATAACTTTAGTGTTGTATTGAATTATCTTTGACTTGGGGCTTAAATTACTCAATCTTGAAATTGATACTTTTTAAAGTAATAGCTGAGACTAGGCATATCTTTTGCTGCAGTGCACTTGCTACTTAACAGTACTTAACATGTGCTAGGCATCATGCTAAATACATTAATTGTTATATAATCCTCAAAATCCTGTGAGGTAGGTTAAAATCTAATACCTCATTTTTAGATGAGCAAAGTGAAATTTTGTTAACTTGTTCAAGGTTATAGAGGAAAGTAAATTTGAGGCAGGGATTCAAACCCAGCTTAATGCTAAATTACTTTCCCTTAATGCTATATTACCCTCTGCTCTAATGCTCTCAGGTATGTTTATAATTTTTCCTTGGGGGAAAATCAGTCTGCCCATGTGTGTGCAGTAGAAGCCCTTTTATCCAGTTGGTAGGTGAAAAAGTGAGTCATGGTAGGGAATCCTAAATGACACTGAACAGATTTTTTTTTTTTCATTTTAAAAATGTTAATCTATATTAACTTGGTAATATTTTCATTTCAATCTTTTATCTGGGTATGGGTTCTCTGATTGGAATTCTGTATCATTTTTCTCCCTTAAATCACTCCTATGATATTTCATAGGAATATGAAATATTCCTGAAATCATATTTCAGTATCAGGTTTTTTGAAAGTAGAGAATGCTTTTTTTTTAGACATTTAAGAAGTAATTTGTAGAATCCTATGCTTGTTTCATGGTTTTTTTCTCCAGCCTTCAGTCATCTTACCTGCCTCTAATTTGACAGTTTTTACAAAGTCTTTCCAAAGCATTCTACCTAATTTTTGTACACCTTTTGCATTATGTGTATTTCATTGGTTTATGTAATGTTTAATTAAATTATGTAATGGTAGTATCTAGTACAACTGGCATAAGTAAGGTGGAGAACACTATTGACCCTTGTTAGGTATGCATACAAACCTGAGAGGAGACTGCAATCACGTGAGAGTTTCCTAAAAAGTGTAATCTACAAGCTTATAGAGTTCAACTTTATTTTACGATGGGAACGGAGAGCATCACTTACTCCACTAAGCCGGTGAACTGAAAACCAGTTAAGCACATTTCCCTGTACTTTGATGAGGTATTTTACAAACCATGCCTACCCTTCGAATACTTAATAGATAGGTTATTCAGTAAACAAATACAGAAATAGAATGGGAAGTCCTATATGTTATAGAATGAATTCTTGAATTACGTTGGTAGGTAGGTTAGTGGGAAGACCATAGAGCAAATTAGGCATAGATTCATAGGGGAAATAGAGACCTTGAATTGAGAAAAAGAAAAATGGTTTGGATAGAATGATGACATTGTCTATTTAATTCTGGTGGTCTTGTGGGAATATTGAACCTTTCTTTGCTTAAATCTCATTTAGGAGAAGGCATGTCGGATTTTTAGAATTGATAACTTCCTGTTAGAAACTTGATAGAATGGTTGTAGGGATAGCATAATAATATAGCCAGATATTTTTCTGGACTGGATTCCAAAAAGGCATTAACAAATTGGAGGCCTGATACTTATTATCAAACTGTAGAAATGAGGGACAAAGGTGAAAGCTGTAAATGGCTATCACTGAGAATCTATTTATTTAAAAATCTCTACATTTAAATTAGGAAAGTAGGAAAGTAATATAGTGGAAAATAGGTCACCAGATATAAAAGGGCCAGGCAGTAATGAATACGAATTTTGTTTAAAAAAAAGTTAAAATCTTTTAACTCTGTTATTTCATTTCTGGGAATTCTAAATAATATTAACAATAAGTTTGAAAAAAGTTTTATAAAATTTATTTCAAAAAATTGTAAATGAACAAATTTTCATTTTAGTAAGAATCACTAAATACATACTTAGTGACTCTTCAGTGTCAGGTGCATAGTTAAGTATTTAATAGATATTACTTATCAAGTTTGGCTTCCAATGGAAGGGCAAACTTGACTGACTCTAGATTATAGTACTAGTTTGTAAATTTTTTTTTTTAACTGAATTATAGTTGACACACAATGTTACATTAGTTTCAGGTTTACAACACAGTGATTCAGCATATGCTATGCTCACAAGTGTAGCTACTGTCTGTTACTGTATGCTATACTGTATGCTGTATGTTATGCTATACAATACCATTGACTATTCCCAGTGCTGTACGTCTCATCCCCGGAACTCAACTCATTCCCTAAGTCTGCACCTCCCACTCTCCACCAATTTTTGGTCATTTCCCTCCTCCCCTCTGGCAACCACTAGTTCGTTCTCTGTGTTTATGGGTCTGTTTTTGCTTTTTTGTTTATTCATTTGTTTTTTAGATTCTACATCTAAGTGAAATCATAATGGCATTTGTCTTAGAGTACCATTTTAACTGATATCAAAAGAGCATCTTTATGCTAAACTCTTCTCAAGTTTGATTTGTTCAGAACTCTGGTTTTATTCTACAATATTTTTTGGATATGGGGCTTTTAGTAATTAGTGGACTTCTTAAGCTGTCTGCTATGGATAGCATTTTATAAAAATGGTCAATTTAATATTGCCATGTAGGTTCCAAAAATCAAGCCTAAAGATGTAAGTATTTTGTGTGTGTAGGTACTATATGTACATGGCACAAAATTCCAAAGATACTCAAAAGTTTAAATCTTTTGTCCATCCTTGCACTTCCGCCACCTAAACATATTGTTACTAATTTATTGTGTTTCCTTGTAGGAGTATTCTGTGTATAATCAAGTGTATGAGGATACTTATAAGTATTCTGTTTTACACAAATGGTAGCATACTTTACACACTGTTCTGCAATTTGCTTTTTCCTCCCCCCCCAGCTCTCCATACAGTATACAGCACCACCTTAGTCTTTTTAATGGGTGTGTATGTATGAATATATCCTAATGTAACAAGTCTCATATTGATGGATATTGTGGCTGTGCTAGTTGTTTGCTAATACAGACTGATGCAGTGAATATAGGACATGCTTTTTTTTTTTTTTTTTAAGATTTTATTTATTCATGAGAGACACAGAGAGAGAGAGAGGCAGAGACACAGGCAGAGAGAGAAGCAGGCGCCCTGCAGAGAGCCCGATGCAGGACTTGATCCCGGGGCTTCAGGATCACACCCTGGGCTGAAGGCAGACACTTAACCTCTGAGCCACCCAGGCGTCCCAAGGACATGCTTTTTTAGAACATATGTTGGGTTATTGATGTTGGGTTCTGGAACTAGTGGTGCCCTATTTATTATTATTCTACTTTATAAGAACTCTCTATTAGTGAGGACTTCCTCCTTGCCTTTGCTATGACTGATGTTTATGGAGTGTCAAACCCAAATCCCTAGTAGATAAAATGGAAATTGTTAATAATAACACGGAAATTGTACAGTATTGCCAAACAGACTTCTTCTGGGATGTGAAATGAGTATTTTGCATTATATGGATCTCCATTAATTTAGGGGAGGTAAGTGAATAGTTTCAACAAATTCCTTTAAAGAGTCTCTCCTTGAATAAGGTAGCTAAAGAAAGATGGAAAGAAGGAATCATGACGGGATATATTGAGAGCATTCTCGAGATAATGGAAGATCTTTGAACCTTTTACTACTCTTGGCATTGTGGTCTTTGCTTAACTGGACCAGTAAGAAAACTCCTTTGGGGAAAGAAGCCTCCAACAGAGCATTTTCCTATGGAGGATGCTTAAATTTAAATTAGGTTACTAGTTTGGAATGAATCCTGAGATTGTTCCTTGGAGTAGAGGATAATGATAAAAAGAAACAAAGAACAGCTTATAAATTGTTTTCAGAATACTTTCATTTTACTTCATGATTCTCACTGCAAGCCTGTGAGTTAGACATTGCTGTTTGCATTTGACAGATGAGAACGCTGAGGTTAGTAGATGCCCTGATCAGCCTGAAATACCAAGCTTTCTTAGTTCATCGTATCCAGTGTCCCCTTCCCTCCTTTTCTGGGGCCATAGAAGCAGAATCAGGAATCATTGACTTTGTGAGCTATTACTGCTTATCAATGCCATGGCAATCATATCAGCAGTTTTCTTGAAGTTTATGATGAAAAGTTTACCAATTTTTGTCATCATTTACCACTGAATTTTGGTACTCTGTGAAGAGTACCATGGAATTAGAGCTGCCCCTCATCTTTTTGGGACATCCCTTTGGCACTACTTGGCACATCCTTTTTTTTTTTTTTTTTTTTTGCTGTGTAGTATGTTGACATTTGGGCAGGTTAGTGGTTAGAGGGTTAGAAATGGGGTAAAGAAATGCATATCAGTGGAGATTTTTTCGTCTAATAATTGTGTAGAAAAAGGTGTGAAAGTCAGAAATGTTCCAATAATTGACCAGACTTTTAGGCCCGGGATGTCACACAAGATCCAAGATCCTTGGGCCTTAAAGCTGAAAAAGTGGGAGGAGGGGTGGGAATAGGAGAGTAAATTAAAACAAAAACAAAAACAAAACTGTATTACGACATTAGGGAAACTTGAATATTAGGCAGCCAGTGATCCGGTTTGAACTGTACCAATGATCTGTTCAGTATGAAATTCAGATTCTTTCACTGAAGACGTGCAAGTTTTTCTTAACTCTCTTCCCGGTTTTGGAATGATCTGCTTCATAACGACGCTACCTTGGTCTAAGATATCCTACTTCTCTCTGATTCTTCAATAGTTTTAGAGGAATTCTTTGTTCCTGACACTTATGTGAAATAGTGGGATTTATAAGAGGAGGGGCTGTAAATAATGTTGTTGTATGCAATACCCTGTCAGGCCCTACATTTATTAACTGATAATCCCAGGGACACTCCTTGAATATACTATCCCCTTTTCATAGAAGGGAATAACTGAGGCTAGCCTAGCTATTTTCACACTTGAATCTAATTAGGGAGCGAAGACATGCACCTACATCCGTATACAATGAAACAGGATAAATGTTTACAGTGTCAAAGCCACGACTGGGTGTAAGAGTGGCCCCGGGAAGCAAAAGCCAGCGTTTGAGGGGACCCCTGCCCTCACACTGCCGCGTGCCTGTTCTATACAGGAACTTCCTGAACGAGGCCACAGGCTCGCATCGCTGGGAGTGGGACCTCGGGGCTGTGGATCCGCTCAACATTCGCGTGTGCGATGAGGCGGGGGAGGACGAGCAGGACCGTCCCCGCGGAAAGCCGCGGCGGCGAGCCCCGGGCGCTCCTCATTCAAGGAAGTTGGCTGGGGGAGGGCGCTTGCCCTGCGGCCGCGTCCCGCTCCCCGCTCCCCGCCCCCCGCCCCCCAGCCTCTGCTGCCGCTAAACCCCGGAGCGCGGAGCGTGCACGCGGAGATTGCTCGGCGGGCCCGGCCGCGGCTGCTGGGCATGCTCAGTGGGCAGGACCCGCTGGAGTGGCGAGTAAGGAAGCGCTGGCTCCTCCGCGGGTCTGCCCTCCCGGTTCAGGCCCCGGCCCTGGGCTTTCGTGCGCGCGGAGCTGCAGCCGCGGCCGCCTCCCCGCCGGGCCTGTCCGGCCTCCGCCGTTAACCTCGCGGCGCGGCCGCAGGAGGAGCGGGGCGGGGCGGGGCCCGCGGGCCGGCGGCCGGGCGGGCGGGAGGGCCCTGCCGGGGCGGGGGCGGGGGCGGGGGTGGGTGCGGGGAGTCCCGCGGGGGTGGGGGGAGGGGAGGGGGCGGGCGCGGAGTCACGGGGGTGGGGTCAGCGGCGCCGGCTCGGGGAGGCCGGCGGGGAGGGGGCCGTGGGGGCGGCTCGGCGGAACCAGCCGCGGCCGGGGAGCGGCGGCGAGGCCGGGGGCCGGGGCCAGGGCTTTCCGGGCTTCGGTGAGGCCGCCGCGGGCCCCATCTTCCGGCGCTCGCCGGAGCTCGTGCTGATTGTTGCTGCCGCCGCCACCGCCCCGGCTGCCATCTCGTCCTCCTGGGCCGCCGCCGCCGCCGCCGCCGCCTCCGCCTCCTCCTCCTCCTCCTCCTGGGCCGGGCCGATCCCCTCCCCGCCGCCGCCGCCGCCGCCGCCTCCTCCTGGGCTGGGCCCGCGGTGTCTCGTCCCCTCGGGGAGCCGCTCCTGCCGCCGCCGCCGCCGCCTCCTCATTCATCCTCGTGCACCATAGGCGGCACAGGCACCAAGATGTCCAACCGAGTGGTCTGCCGGGAAGCCAGCCACGCCGGGAGCTGGTACACAGCCTCAGGTAGGGCCCCAGGCCGGCCGGCGCGGACCGCGTGCGGAGGGAGCGCCCCCCCCCCCCCGTGGCATCCCGCCCGGCGGCCCGCTCGCCGCGGAGCGTGGGGCGGACGGCGGCGCGCGCCCTCCCGGGGCCAGGCTGGAGGCCGGGACCCGAGCCCGCCGGCCGCCCGCCCCGGCCCCGGCCCCGGGAGGACGGCGCGCCCGGCGCGGGGGAGGCAGGTCGGACCGGCGGCGGGGCGTCCCCGTCTCACCTCCAGGGCGCCCGGCTGCCTGCACGGGAGCGCGGGCTCCGGACTCTCTCACGCGGCCGGGCTGGACGCAGGGTCCCCGCCGGCGAGGTGGCCTAGGCGGCGGGAGGCCCTTCCGTGGGATTCGCGGAGCGCGCCTGTGGGGGTAGGGTGGAGGGGCTGCCGGGCCGCGGCTTGCGGCCGCCCAGCTCTTTTGTCAGTGTTTTCATTGTTGCTGCCACTCGCGAAAGGGGCAGCCGGAGATGGCATCGGCGCGCCGGCCTCCCCCCGCCCGCCCGAGCCGCGCCGAGCCGCGCCGAGCCGAGCCGCGCCGAGCCGAGCCGCGCCGAGCCGAGCCGCGCCGAGCCGCGCCGCCCTCCAGCCCGCGAGCCGGGCCCGGGTCTCCGGCGCCCCGCGCTCCGTCAACGCCGCCTACACACCCTCTGGAGCTCTTTTATGTAAGGAAGCCCAGGGACGTTCCCTTTAACAGACATTTGGGTTGGGGCGACTGTTTTTCCCGGGATTACTTTCAGGAGTCCCGTTCCTGGCGAGTTAACAAAGAAAGTTGCACCGTGATCCCTGATGGTTCCCCGTGGTTCGGCACCGGCTCCCGGGTCTCCCGGGTCCCCAGACCCGACTTAACTCCTGCGGATCTCGCGCTCACGCCTTCCCTCCGGCGCCGAGCTGGGCCGGGGTAGTCCGGGCTGGGAGGCGACCGAGGTCGGGAAGAGAGAGAGTTCCTCCCTCCGAGTCGCTGCTGCTGGCGCTTTCCCGACCGACTCACTGGGCTTTTGCTGTGTTAAGACCCAGCAGAGTCGTCGCGATCGGATTCGCAGAGCCCAGCAGGTAGCCAGCTGTAGCTTGGCGCCGAGCCCGTGACCCTCGGCCTTGCCCTCGTGGCCCCGGGGTACTCCACAGACACCTAATCGTTCCCACGGCCCGAGGATGTCAGTTAAGCTTTCCTCGGTGGACACGCGGGGACGCGCCCGGGACCGTACCACCAGCCCGTGGCGGGACGCGGATTGAGGAGCGGGAGTCCCTGGCCCCTGGGTTTGTCCTCCATGAAGTGCATCGCTGATCTTGGATTTATCCGGGCACGAGTGGCCTTCTCTGGGTTGTCAGTCACTAAGCTGCTTTCCTCCCTGTGTCCTGAAGGGTTAGAACGTCTCAGTTTTCACTTTCATGGCCATCTTTTGGTTTATTTCTTCTGGTTTTGTTTTCTGTGCCTTTCTACAAGTGTGTTAGACCTTTTCATGTAGTTTGCCTTGACGTTTGGGCAAATAATTCTGGAGGAATTTTTATAGATTCTTGAATATTCTTTGGGTAGCAAAATAAGGTATATCTCACACTTTGGACTTGAAACGACTTCTCCAGTAATCTCAAATATAAGAGGATCTAGCCCCAAACATTCTCTGATTATAGCTATTTATCAGTAGTGAGTGAACACAAACTATTTTCTTCTTTTTTGGGGGGTATAAGTGTGATTTTATTTTATTTTTTTTACAGTGTTATATTAGTTTCAGGTGTGTACAGTATAATGATTCAACGATTCCTAAACAACTATTTTCTCAGACATTTGAAATGCAATCTTATTTCCTTAAATTCTCAAAAAGTCAGTAATGCCACTTTGATAATGTGAATTGTCATAGAGAACCTTATTGTTAAAAAAATTCAGAGCATGTGTGGCGTGTGTGTGTGTCTATATGTGTGTGTGATTTTAAACTTAAGTAATGATAAGGGATGAATTTAAAGCAATGGAGTTGTAAAAGCTTATTTCATATTTTAAAAATAAGTAAAAATAGAGAGAAGTGAACTCTGACTTGGTCTGACAACTTACTTCACATTATCCCAGTGTACCTAGGTTGATAGCATTGACCATCGGAAAAAATTTTACTTGTGTTATTATTGTTTCCCTAGTGAACTATTTCTAAAAACTCAAGTAATAGAAGACCAATAAAGACCATTTTGGATAAATTGAGATAGGGCTTTTAGTAGTTCTGAGGATTATGGAATCACTTCAAGGTAGGATTTGAATTGTGCTTTGAAGGAATGGTACTTAGGTTTGGAGAGGAGAAGAAACTTTGGGGGAACACCACAAAATACAGAGGCGAATAATATAAGTAGATGAATTTAATAAGAATGAATGGTTCATACTGGGGTATAGTTCTTGAGCCTGGAGTATTAAATTGGTGCTAGAGTATGGACGCCTGTGAATGCTATGCATCATAGTGATTTGATTTATTCAGTAGGTAGTCAGGACCAAGGGGGAAGTTTCTGAGTAGGGAACTAATATGGGAGTAGCGTTTTAGGAAGATTGATCTCCTAGGAAGGTTAATCCTCATTTCTTTACCGGTGTATAGCTGGGCTCAGCAAACTATGCCCACAGGTCAGATCCGGCCTGTGGCCCTCATCATGAGCAAGTCTACTAGCTAAGAACAGTTTTTAATTTTCATAGGGTTTAAAAAACAAACATAAGTGTCGTTGAAACCGTCTGTGGCCCGTAAAGCCTAAAAATATTTATTATTTGGCCCTTTACAGAAAAATATGCCGACCTCTAGTGTAGGTTAGTGGTTCTCAAAGTGGGATCTCTAGACCAGCAGCTTAATGTATCTGTACTTTGTATTTTCTCCATATTTATTCTAGCTTTTATTGCATTATTTCAGGCTCTTAGTATCTTCTCTCAAGACAGTTTTAACCGCCTCCTAACTAGCCTTATCCTCCTTAAGTTCATCCTCTGCATTGCTCCCTGAATAATCTATCTGAACACATAATTCCTTTGCATAAATCTCACTGACCCATCTTGCCTTTTGGAAGAGGTCTAAGTTTCTTCATGACTTGGCATCCTACTATCTCTTTGACCACTCCTTTACCCCATCTCAGTCCTTGTTTTTACCACCCTTAAGCAACATGTAGCAGCTGTAATTGTTTCTTTAAATATACTGTGCTTTTTACTCAAGCTGTTTGCTCTGATGGAATGCATTTTGCCTGGTAATTCCTACTCTTCTTTTAAAGACTCAGTTGTTCATACCTTCATGATGGCTGTCCCGATACCTGACCTCTCTAGGTTGTTTTTGTTGATCCTTTGTAATTCTGTAATGTCCTGTGCATATCTCTGTACATTTATTTGTTATCTGTATGTGTGGTCATAATCTTTTTTTTTTTTTCAAGATTTATTTATTTATTTTAGAGAGAGAGGGAGGGAGAGAGCATACACATGAGTTGGGGGAGGGACAGAGGGAGAGGATCTCAAGCAAACTCCCTGTTTATGACCTATGAGATTACGACCTGAGCCAAAACCAAGAGTTGGATGCTTAACTGAGCCACCCAGGTACCCCTGTATGTGTGGTCTTCTGTAAGATTAGGAATTCCTTGAAGCTTGGGACAATATCTTACTAATTTTTGGTACCTTAAATACTCAGCACAGATTTTGTACATAGTAGATACTCAGTAAGTATTTGAATGAATGAGTGTTAAAGTGCTTGACATATAGTAAATATGGCAAAGGTATTGATTGCTTAAATCCTGAAGAGCAGCAGGGGTGATTAAGGACCATTGCAGTTAAATCTCTGAGAATAGTATGGGTGAAGAATATTAGTGGTGGGAAAGGATTAGAAATCCTGATTCACCAGTTGGGACCCCATTTTATCTAAGTTTTTTTTTTTTTTTTTTAAGATTTTATATACTTATTTGTGGAAGTGGGGGAGAGAGATCACTGAGCAGAGGGGAAAGGCAGAGAGAGAAACAGACTCCCTGCTTATTAGCTGGGAGCCTGATGTGGGACTTGATCCCAGGACTCTGGGATCAACGACTTGAGTTGAAGGCAGACACTTAATCAACTGAGCCACCCAGATGCCCTAAGATTTTTTTTTTTAATTTATTTATTCATGAGACACACACACACACACACATACACACACACACACAAACAGAGGCAGAGAGGCAGAGGGAGAAGCAGGCTCCATGCAGGGAGCCAGACGTGGGACTCGATGCTGGGTCTCCAGGATCAGGCCCTGGGCTGAAGGCGGTGCTAAACCCGCTGAGCCACCCGGGCTGCCCCCCGGTCTAAGATTTTTAAAGAAGTGTGACATACGGGATCCCTGGGTGGCGCAGCGGTTTAGCGCCTGCCTTTGGCCCAGGGCGCGATCCTGGAGACCCGGGATCGAATCCCACGTCAGGCTCCCGGTGTATGGAGCCTGCTTCTCCCTCTGCCTGTGTCTCTGCCTCTCTCTCTCTCTCTCTCACTGTGTGCCTATCATAAATAAATAAAACAAACAAAAAAAAATCCATTAAAAAAAAAAAGTGTGACATACATATAGAAGAGTGTATGACTAGATGAATTTTCACAAAATAAGTACTTTTATGTAATCAGCACCCAGCTTAAGGAACATAGAAGTACTGAAATCCCCAACCCTTACTGTGTTCCTTGTATTCTAACACTAGAAAAATTTTGTCTGTTTGCAAACTCTATATGAAGTAGAATCATAAAGTATGTCTTGTTTGAGCTGCTTCTGCTCAACATTACATTTATGAGATTAACCCTTATTGTGTTGTAGTTTGTTTTTTCTCATTGCTGTTCTCTCTTGTGTGAATATACCAGAGCTTATCCATTCTACTGTTGGTAGATATTAGATTTTGCTGCAAGGAACTCATGTATGTATGTGGACTCCATGCCTAGTGTGGGTGTGGAGTCCAATGCAGGGCTTGAATTCACGACCCTGAGATCAAGAGTCAGACACTTAACCGCCTGAGCCACCCAGGTGCCCCTGCAATAAACATT